CATTTCTTCTGGTTTATCCTCGTGTTTGACTTTCACAACCGGTTTCAATTCCACTTTTTCGATTTGTTCTGGGACGTGTTGTTTAGGTTGAGGTCGCTTGACCGGTTTTAATGTTACCTGATGAGGCTTTTCCGGTTCTTTTGATATTTCTTCTGGTTTATCTTCAGATGGTTCGCGCGGCTTTTTACCACGTCGCCAGGGTAAGGTTTTCTCGTCTTGTTTTTCGCCTTCTGGTTCCTTCCGATCATAAGGCAAGAGATCTACGTTGTCGCCTTCATCTAATGGTTTTGGAGTAAATTTAATTGGTTTCGAATCATCGTCTTTCTTTGTGTCTTCGGGTTTATCTTTTTTGAAGGGTTTTAATTGTACTGTTTCTTTTTCTTCCTCTGGTTTCGGACGACGTTTACCTTTCATGAATTCAACATCTTCTTCCGGTTTTTCTGGTTTCGGTTTCCTCGTTATAGTCCATTCCGGTTTCTTATCTTCTTCAACAGGTTTATCTGGCTTCTTGCCACGTTGCCAAGGTAATTTCGTTTCCTCTTTTGGTTCCGGAACTTTATCGTCTTTTTCGAACGGTTCATACTTTTCTAGTTCTACGTCATCGGGTGACTCAATATCCTTGAGTCCAGGCTTCTTTCGCTTTTGTTTCGGTTTTCGTTTATCGTCAGGTGTTTTATCTTCCTCCGGTTCGTCTCTTTCAACGGGTTTCAATTCAACTTTTTCCATTTCTTCTGGCTTATCTTCATGTTTGACTTTCACAACCGGTTTCAATTCTACTTTTTCGATTTGTTCGGGTACGTGTTCTTTGGGTTGTGGTCGTTTGACTGGTTTCAATGTTACCTGATGAGGCTTTTCCGGTTCTTTAGATATTTCTTCTGGTTTATCTTCAGATGGTTCGCGCGGCTTTTTACCACGTCGCCAGGGTAAGGGTTTCTCGTCTTGTTTTTCGCCTTCTGGTTCTTTTCGATCATAAGGCAAGAGATCTACGTTGTCGCCTTCATCTAATGGTTTTGGAGTAAATTTAATTGGTTTCGAATCATCATCTTTCTTGGTGTCTTCGGGTTTATCTTTTTTGAAGGGTTTTAATTGTACTGTTTCTTTTTCTTCCTGGTTTCGGACGACGTTTACCTTTCATAAATTCAACATCTTCTTCCGGTTTTCTGTTTTCGGTTTCCTCGTTATGGTCCATTCCGGTTTCTTATCTTCTTCAACAGGTTTTTCGGGCTTCTTGCCACGTTGCCAAGGTAATTTCGTTTCTTCTTTTGGTTCCGGAACTTTATCGTCTTTTTCGAATGGCTCATACTTTTCTAGTTCTACTTCATCCGGTGACTCTATATCTTTTAATCCAGGTTTCTTTCGCTTTTGTTTGGGTTTTCGTTTATCGTCAGGTGCTTTATCTTCCTCCGGTTCGTCTCTTTCGACAGGTTTCAATTCAACTTTTTCCATTTCTTCAGGTTTATCTTCATGTTTGACTTTCACAACTGGTTTCAATTCTACTTTTTCGATTTGTTCGGGTACGTGTTCTTTCGGTTGTGGTCGCTTCACCGGTTTCAAAGTAACTTGATGTGGTTTTTCGGATTCTACTGAACTTTCTTCTGCTTTTTGAGGTTTTAATTCGGATGGTTTTTTACCACGTTTCCACGGAAGTGTTTTTTCATCCTTTCGTTCTTCTTCAGTATCTTCTTTTTCGTCTGTTGGTTCTGTATCATATTCATCTTGTTTGATTTTCAAATGTATTCCTTCATTTTCTTCCACATCTTTTATTTTATTTTTTTCTTTACGCCAATAACTTTCATCTTCTTCAATAGATTTTTTTATGGGTGTTTTTTGCCGTATTATTTTTTTGTTGAAGGGATGTAAGGTTTGATCGATTGTTTCATCAGTTTTTGTTTTTAATATTTCCGAGTCTTCCGTCATGATGTATTTTTCATTTTTAGGTACATCATCATTCAATGGCGATATTAAAACCTCTTCAACTTCTTTTAAGAAATCAACCCTTTTTCGTTTATTATCTTCGTTATCAGAATCCACAGATTTTTCTTTTATAATCGATTTTAATTTTTTTTCTTTATCAGTTAATATTTTTTTAATATCGCTTTCCATTTTCGTTTTAATTTCTTCTTTTAATTTATTCTTATCTTGTTTTTCAACCGGTTTCAAGTCGACGTCGGGAAGTTTTTCTTTCGTGGGCAATTTTTTTTCTAAAACTGTAGGTTTTAGTGTGACTTCCTCAAGTGTTTCTTTTGGTATTTCTTTTACTTGCGGCGCGGTACGTTTAAGAGTCGGCATTTGCTTTGTCCAAGGAACTTGCTTCATTTGCTTTTTCTCTTCCTCTTCGATATGATCGTGCAAACTAGTTCGCCTTCCGCCAAACGGTCTTTCCACAGTTTCATCCGTTTGATATTTTCCTGTTAGCTTCGGCTTTCTCTTATTGTCATCCGTAGCTTTTTGTAACGAATCCAAACTCCTGTCTCTAATTTTCGTCGTATCTTTTATCTGTTCGAGTTTTGATTCTTTTAATTTTTTAAGTCCTCGTTTCCAAGGAATTCCTTTCGGTTTTGTTTTTTCTCCAATTTCTTCTTCTTCTTCTTCTTCCTCGGTCACGTCATATTTTTTTATGATTCGATCTTCCGTTTCGTCAAATTTAGTTTTCGATGTTAATTTTTGCGTCGTCGTTTCATCACTTTTTGTCGTTTCCAATTTTTGTTTTTTGTCAAAAGGTTTTAAATCCACCGTTTCCAATTTTTCTTTTTCTATTTCTCTTTTTTCAATATTTGTCTTTTTCAAAGTAATCGTTTCCTCGGTCCAGGGTTTAGGTTTCGATTCGAAATCCTTTTTCAAATTATCTTCAAGAGGTAAATTACGACGTGGAAAACCCGAACGTGGTGATTTATCTCTCGAACGCCAAGGAACGGAATCATCTTTGGGTACCGATTTTTCAGATTCATCAACTGGTTTCTGACCGATATCGTTAGGTTTCAAATTACGCGGCGATTGTTGAGGGGCGCCTGGTTTATAAGGACTTGGATATTTATTTAAAGAAGAAGGAAATTTTCCATCACCGTAATCATCGGTAACAACATCTTGAGATGTATAATTCGTAGATTCTGCAATGGTAAATAAATAATTGGTGGAAACCTGATTTTTTATTCATCCGAAGACTCTCCTTAATTTAAATATTTAAAATTATTATAACCGACATTTTGTTTTTACGACTTTTATAACCTCAAGGCGATAAAAATAAAAATTTTACAACATCATCATTATTATTATTTTTTTAACCTGAAATATTTAAAAAAAAAAAAAAAAAAAAAAAAAAAAACACCTCGTGGTAATTGCAGGAGAGATCTCTCCTCGAAGTTTTCCCTCCATATCCCATACCCGATAATAATAATAATTTAAAACACGTGTTAAATTTATTTATGGGCATAATTAATAACGCGGTTTCAAAGATAACATACAATAAATAAATAACACGAGAGATTATAAATGACCGAATTTTAAAAATAAATAAATAATTTTTTTTTTTTATATATAAATTTGGCAAGTTTTTACTTAAACAATTCATAAACAATATTATTATTATTATTATTATTATTTTGTTTTATTTAACCCCCGTCGCGTTTAACGCCAATAAAAATAAATACGAATAAAATTAAAAAAAGATAAACAACTTTTTTTTTTTTTTTTTGAAATTAAATTTACCAGCTGGATATATTTATGTAGCACTCATAATAATAATAATAATAATAATAATAATAAAAGAAAATACACGCATCACATACGTGCACACGCGTAATTTATTTCGCACGTACCGGTTAGTCAATAAAAAAAAAAAAAAAAAAACGGAAAAAAAAAACACTTTAACGTATTGAAAATTTTAATCATGGGAATAATATTCATATTCACGCCATTTTAATAATAATAATAATACTACAAAGATTTATCAACTACGCACACACACACAGACACATATACACACATGCACGTCGTTTCATTGTTTTGCGTTTTTTTTTTTTTTTTACGTCACGATTTAAAAAAAAAAAAATTTTCTTTTTATGGATTCAAATTAAGTGAAAATAATAATAATAATAATAATAATTTAAATTGTTTTGTTCGTCAAATCGTTTTTCTTTTTTGAATGAAATTTAATGAATTATTTATTTTGTGGGCGTGTACGTACGTGCATTCGTGTATTCGTGTGCGCGTGTTCGTTGTATTTATATAAATATATATTTATTTAAAAATAAATAAACTCGCGTAAAGTTGTAAAAATTATCACGTGGGAAGTGAAACTATAAAAAATAAATAAATATCATTATAATTTGAATTCATTTTCTTTTTAGTCGTGTATAACGTTGTAAAAAGTTTAAAATTAAATTGGCGGGTTTTTCATTTATTTATTTACAATTTTAATAATAATAATGATGATAATAATAATAATAATGTAGGTGGAATGTAAAAATACGAGGACGACGACGTGAAAATGCGTCCAATTTTTTTTTTTTTTTTTTTTTACGAGAAAATAATGACGATTTTTTTTTTTGTTATTCGTATTCGAGTAAAAAGAAAATTTGTGGAATTTTCAATGTCAAAATTATTAACATAATTAATTCAATGGGGAGTGAGGGAGGGAGGCAGGGGGGGGTTATAAATAAATAAATTCCAAGGCCTGGCAAAAAGCCTAATAAAATTTATTTATTTTTTATGTATGTAAACATAACGAAAATATTTACGAAAAAGGAAGTCGGTCGGTCCGTCAGTCGCAGTCATCGTTTTCCTTTTGTCAGGTATAAAATATTATCGATCAAATTTTTTTTTTCCCTTCGTCATTATTATTATCATTATTATTATTATCATCAACGTAAATTTCAGACATATAATTACCTATCCCTAAATCGAGTCGAAAAAAAAAAAAAAATTTAAAATACGGCCGAATAAAGAAATCAAATACGTGTGTAATTTAAAAAAAAAAAAAAAAATTCAGGGTAGTATTAAGGGTATCGTTAATCTTTTATGACGTCACATCTTTACAAACTATGACGAATAATCGAAATGTACAATAAAGTCTGACATGGTTCACAAAAAAAAATTAAAAATATAATCGATCGAACGTGGTGTGATGCATTTAAAAAAAAAAAAAAAAAAATTGGCAAATTAGAAAGAAAATTTTTTCTAAACGGATGATGACGTCATTAAATTTTTTATTTTTGGCACTCGTCGGAAAACTTTTCTTCGGGATTTGGCATCGTAAATAATATTTAAAAACAAAAAAATGAAAAGATTGTATCGAAATGATGATTAATGTAAGGCGGATTTAACGTTTTTTTTTTTTTAAAAAAAAAATCGTGGCAGGAGTGGGGCGTACGTTTTTTTTTTCTTTGTTACAAAATGGAAACCTTAGAAAATTTAAAAAAAAAAAAAAATTATTATCGATCATATTCAGTATAAAGTTTTACGTTGTTTTGTGATGTTGTGTGTTTTTAACCAATCAAAAAAAATTTTTTTTCAATTTTAAATTCATTTCAAACCGGAAATGAATCGATGACATGCTAACAAATAAATAAATATTATCATTTTTTGTTAAAGTGTTTTTTTTTTTTTTTTTGAATATCCGGATTTTTACTCGCGCGTGTGCGTGTGTGCGTGAGTTTGTGAATTTTTCGTGTTTTTTTTTAATGATAATAATAATTAAAAATTTGCCTTTTTTTTTTAAATTTTGTTAATTAACGAATTTATCTCTAATTAATTAATTAATTAATTAATTAAATTTAAAAAATAATAATAATTAAATAGCTTCAGTGTTTCGTTTAAATTTAACAACAAATACAACAAAATTAATTTTTTTTTTTTTTTCGCTTCTCCTTTTTCATCATTCGATGATGATGATGATGATGATGATGATGATTATTATTATTAATAAATATTTTTTGTTATTTTATAAATAAAAGGAAATATCATATTATAAATAAAATAACATAAAATTATTTGTAATACATAAATATATGTATATAAATATGATTATTTATTATACTAATTAAAATATTATAAAAATAAATTTCTTTTTTTCTTAAACGTGTACTATATTATATACTTTTATATTTAATTCAATATAAATTTATATTATTGATTATTGATTATTGATTTTTTCCAATATGCATCCTTATTAAATATTGATTTTAAAAAACTCGCGTTTTTTTTTTTAAATTAATATTTAACGCCGCGTAAATTTCCCATATTGTTCAGTTGCCGTCGAGGATTCTTCTTCTTCTTCTTCTTCTTATTTGAATTTTGGATATTTCTTCTTTCTTCATTAAATGATTATTATTATTTATTTTTTTTTTTTTTTTTGTTCAGACGAAGTCAAAGACGATGATGATGATGATGATGATGATGATGATGATGACGGCGGCGACGACGACGACGACGACGACGACGGTTTCGTTACATAATTTTTTCCGCGTATTTTTTTTGGCAAAAATTTACAAAAATTCTACAATTTTTTTTTTTTTTTTTTTTTTTTTAGAATTTTAATATTTTTTTCTTCGAAAATTGTTTTAAAAAAAAAAATACATAAACCCATTAAAAAAATAAATAAATAAATAAACTTTAATAATAATAATAATAATAATTTTTTTCAAAGTCGCGAACTTTTAAACAATAAAAAAAAAAAAAAAAAAGTCCGTGACTAAAATCAATCAATCGATCACCTCGTAAAAAAAATCAACGCGTTAAAAATTTTTTTTTTAATTTTGATTTAAATTCACACAAAAAAAAAATTAGACCGGGCGCAAATCCAAAAAAAAAAAATTATTAAAATAAATAAGAGAGAGAGAGAGAGAATGTGTTGTACGTTTACCAGAGAGAGAGAGAGAGAGAGAGAAAATTCGCAACACTTCCTGTAAATTTTGAAATTTAATACGTGTGCTAACGGGCGTAAAACAAAATTCATAATTAATCATTCTTTTTTTTTTTTTTTTCAATTTTAAAACAAAATTTTGATAAATTTCCTTTTATGGTAATTTTTATGAGTAATAACACCCACCCACACTTTTTCACACCGAAATTCATTTATTATATTTAAATAAAAAATATTATTATTATTATTATTAATTTCTTTTTCCTTCTCAGAACAACAATAACAATCAAAAAAAATGTTGTTTTTACCGTTTTCCCTAAAATTATATTAATCCGCCATTTTTTTTAATCGTAAAATAATTTTTGTTTTGTACCTTAAATAAAATTATCAATGGATTATTAGAACAATTATCATTATCATTATCATTATCATTATTATTATTATTATCATCATCATTTATAAATCAGTCAAAATGTTTTTTTTATGTTTTGAATAATGTCCAAGGGGAAATATTTTTAATTTTAAATTTTACCTGAGTTTTTTTTTTTTTTTTTTTTTATAAATAAAAACTAAAATAATAATAATAGTAATGATGATGATGATGATGATGATAAAGATGGTGACTATTGTGATGATGATGATGATGATGATTATAGCGGAAAAGAATGTTGTGTAAGAAGAATGAGAAAACAAAATTTTTGTCCGATGATGTCTGGCTTACCTCCAAATTTAGGAAGGTAAAAGCTCCGGATCGGATTTGCCCCCCTCCCGCCTCCCGCCCCTCACCACAATAAATGTACAAAAATAGATTCGAAAAAAGTCGGAAAAATAAACATTTTTTTTATTTTTTTTTATAAGAAATGAAAAACGTGGGGAAAACAAAAAAAAATTTGTAGCGTCACGCCTTATTTAAAAAAATTTAAAAAAAAAAAAATTAAATTAATTAGAACAAATAAAAATAAATTAGTCGTCGTCGTCGTCGTCGTCGTCGTCTCCCCCTCCCCCTCCCCCCTGGCTTGGTTTTTTTTATTACTCCCGATTCGTCTCAAACCCCCCACATTATTCAAATATTAATAATAATAATAATAATAATAATAATTCTCGTTAATGATTTTTTTTTAAACAGTAAAACCACATTTTTTTTGTTTTCACTACACTTGAATTTAAATAAATAAAAACAAACAAGAAAACAAACAAACAAACAAACGAAATCGTTCGATTGTTACTTCTAGTTCCTCAACATCAAAATTACAATAAATATATAACATATTAATAATAATAATAATAATAATAATAACAATAATATAAAATTACAATCACCATTTTAACAATAACTTTTACTCATCCTTTCTTTCTTCTTATTTCATCCTTTTCTCTCTCTCTCTCTCTCTCTCTCTCTCCCTTTTTCATTTAAAATAAATATTTTTGTGTCAATAATCAATAATTACGATTACAAAAAAAAAAAAAAAAAAAAAACAAAAATTAATATTAATAATAATAATAATAATAATTAAAAAAAAAATCAAAAATAAATTTAAATATTTCATTAAATTTTATTCATCATCATCATACATAATAATAATAATAATAAAGCTCACAAAAATGTTATAAAGCTATAAAAACAATAATAATAATTAAAAAAAAAAAATTATCATCATTATTATTTAAAAAAAAAAAAAAAAAAAAAAAAAAATTTATAATTTTAAAGGACCCTTTTTTTATTTTTATTAACCCCCCCCCACTTTTTTTTTTTTTTTTTTTTTTTTTTTTGGAAAACCCCCAAAATTTTTTTTTTTTCCCCTTTTTTTTTTGGCCAAAAAAAAAAAAAAACCCCGGAACCTTTTTTTAAATTTTTTTTACCCCCCC